GAAAGTTAATGATGTTACAAATATAGTACTCTCAACAAATGAAATTTATCAAATGCTGAAGAAAAGAACTGGGCTTTGGAGTAGGGAAGACATGGTTTTGCCTTGTAATTTAACCACCAATTAGCTGGACATACTCATGTAAATCTCAGTTTTTTTCATATAAAGCAAGGACAATATCAGTCTTATCAGTTAATGAAAAGATTAAATAAGATGATGTATGTAAATCAACCCCCTCAGTGGCCTAACTGAGCATCAGATATGGAATGAGCATTGAATAGCTGATTGTTTTCCTCTGCTGCAGACAGCTTCCCACATGTACCCCATATATGAGTGCCTCCACTGTCCTTCTGTACTCTTTGTCTCTTTCTGAGAATGTTCCCTCCACACTTGCACCACCGCCACTTTTCATGTATATTCCTTTTTATTTCTCCTTTCTCCCCTCAATATTTAACATACTATTTGCAGGTCCAAAAGATGGCCTTTATTCATAATAATAAGTTAGATTCTATTGTAACTTTAAGAAAAAAAAAAAATCCTTCAGCTGAAGAATTCAAAAAGGTTCTCTCTGAGGCACATTATAGTTGAATTGTCAAAAGTCAAAGAAAAAGTGAATTCTAAAAACAGCCAAAGTGTCAAGTTACATATAAGGGGATTCCCGTTAGACTAACATCAGTTCTTTCCACAGAAACCTTACAGACCGTGAGTGAATGGGATGATATATTGAAAGTGCCAAAAGAAAAATCTGCCAGTCCCCAGTAAACCTATCTTTCAGAAATGACAAAGAAGTAGTCTTTCCCAGACAAGCAAAAACGGAGGAAATTTATCACCAATAGACCAGCCTTATAAAAAATGCTCAAGGTATTGCAACATCTGAAAGTGAAAAGATGATCATCATTATCGTGAAAACACACAAGTATAAAACGCACTGCTAGAGCAGATACACAAAAAAGAAAGCAAAGAATCAAACCTTATTACTACAGAAAACTGTTAGAGACAGAATGCTTGTTCCCAGGTACCACAAGGAAAAATTAGCATTCAGACAAAATGTTTTCTCAGCAACGCAATTTTACTTTCTGCAGAAAGGGTGCTCCCATTAGCCATCTTGCCACAAGAGTACAATGAAGAAAGGAAAGGCAGGCATAGTTATTCCTTACACATTGGGTCCTTACTGCTGTGTCCGATCTTCATAACTAAACTCAACCAAATTGGCTAACAACTTAAAACTTTTCTAAATAGATAAAGGCAATGGAGAACAAAGGAAAAGAGGCCATTGCTTACAAAAGGAATTAGAAAAGTAACAGCATTCCCAAATAAGAAGCAGCATAGGCTGCAAGTTGGGAGATGCCTGTGAGCATGTCCAGCACACAAATATCTGGGTTAAAGTACAAGGACAGAGAATGTGCTACATGCCTGTGAGCATGTTTAACAGCTGCATAGGATAGGGCTTAACAAAGAGTTATTAGCAGAAATCAAGAAGGCTTTGAAGAAAGTCTTTAAAACAATATTATTTCTAACATTTACTATTATTATTCTTTAACAAGAAGGGAAACTTTGAAGAGGAACTTTTTACTTTCTACAACAACCAAATCACAATGATACACAATAAGAGAGGAAGAAAGGAACAATGGATGTACAAAAACAATCAGAAAACAATTAACAACATGACAGAAGTAAGTCCTAACCTAGTAATAATAACCTAGTAATAATAAAATCCTCGAATGTAAATGGCTTAAACTCCCCCTTAAAAGATAAAGCTTGAGGGTCTGAGTGCAGTGGTGTTTACAGCTTACTGAACACAACCAGTTACCGATATCTTTGTTCCTTCTCCACTGCCACTGTTTCACCTGACTAGCCTTGAAGAAGGTATTTAAATGTTTCAAAAAGATACGAACTAGTTGAATAGATTTTTTAAAACCATCACCCAAGCTGGCGTAGTGGTTCTCACCTGTAATCCCAGCATTTTGGGAGGCTGAGGCAGGTGGATCACTTGAGGTCAGGAGTTTGAGACCAGCCTGGCCAACATGGTGAAACCCCGTCTCTACCAAAAATACAAAAAATTAGCTGAGTATAGTGGAAGGTGCCTGTAGTCCCAGCTACTCAGGAGGCGGAGGCAGGAGAAGAGCTTGAACCTGGGAAGCGGAGGTTGCAGTGAGCCAAGATGGTGCCACTGCTCTTGAGCCTGGGCAATAGAGCAAGAGTCTGTCAAAAAACAAAAACAAAAACAAAAACCAAAAAACCATGACCCAATTACATGCTCACTATAAGAAGCTCACTTCACTGTAAAAACACATATTACACTAAAAGTGAATGGGTGGAAAATATATTTCATGCAGTCTTGGCATGGTGGCTCATGCCTGTAATCCCAGCACTTTGGGAGGCTGAAGTGGGAAGATCACCTGAGCCCAGGAGTTTGAGACCAGCCTGGGCAATAGAGCAAGACCCTGTCTCAATGAAAATTTAAAAATTAACTGGCTATGATGGTGGACAGCTGCAGTGCCAAGAGACTGAGGCAGGAGGATCATTTGAGCCTAGAAGTCCAAAGATCCAGTAAGTCATGATCACACCACAGCACTCCAGCCTGGGTGACAGAGTGAGACCCCATCTCAGAAAATAAAAAATAATAAAGATATTCCATGCAAACCAAGCAAACAAACAAACAAAAAAGCAGGAGTAGCTTTACTTACATGAATTAAAACAGACTTTAAGTCAAAAACCATAAAAAGAGAAAATAAAGTGATTATATAATGATAAAAGGATCAGTTTAGCAAGGGATGTAATGATTATAAATACATATGCACCCAAGACTGGAGCAAGCAGATACATAAAGCAAGCACTAGATGTAAAGAGAGAGAGAGGCTCCAATACAATAGCAGTTGGGGATCTCAGTGTCCCACTCTCAGCATTGGACACGTCATCCAGACAGAAAATTAAAAAAGAAAAACTGGACTTAAACTGTGTTTTTCACCCAATGGACCTAACAGGTAGTATCAGAACATTTTCTCTGAGAGCTATATATTATTATTATATTATTATTTTGGGGGGGTACCAGATTTCTTTATTTGAAGGAATGGTACAAAGAACTTAAGTGGATGTTTTGGCACAACTTATAGAAAAGGTAAAGGAAACCCCAATATGCATGCACTGCCTTGGTGACCAGGGAAGTCACCCCGTGGCTATGGGGAAATTAGCCTAAGGCTTAGCTTTCATTATCACTGTCTCCCAGGGTGTGCTTGTCAAAGAGATATTCTGCCAAGCCAGATTGGGGTGCTCCCATCTTGCGCAAGTTGGTCACGTGGTCACCCAATTCTTTGGTGGATTTCACCTGCTCATTCAGGTAATGTGTCTCAATGAAGTCACACAAATGGGGGTCATTTTTGTCAGTGGCCGGTTTGTGCAGTTCCAGTAGTGACTGATTCACATTTTTTTTCCAAATGTAATGCACACTCCATCGCATTCAGCCCGCTCTCCCAGTCATCATGGTCTGGTTTCTTGATATCCTGAAGGAAGATGCGGCCACCTCGCTGGTTCTGCAGCTTCATCAGTTTCTCGGCATGTTCCCTCTCCTCATGAGATTGGTGAAGAAAGTGCTTGGCAAAGTTCTTCAAAGCCACATCACCGCGGTCAAAGTAGTAAGACATGGACAGGTAAACATAGGAGTCGTAGAGCACCAGGTTGATCTGGCGGTTGATGGTGGCCTCTGAGTCCTGGTGGTAGTTCTGGCGCACCTGCGAAGGTAATGCGGTCGTCACGGCGGCTGCTAAGGAGAGGCGGCGGGGGCGGTGTCTGCCCGGCGCTGGAGAGGCGGCGGGGGGCCTCGGGGCGGTCCGAGGACGCGGTGTGGAGGTGACGGAGGGCTGGCTGTGGGCGGCCGGCCAGGGTGGGGGGCGAGCGCCGGGTTCTGTCCAAGCACTGTTGAAGCAAGAAACCGCGGCGACCCTGGGCGAAGAACGTCTCTATTACTACTATTATTTATTTGAGATGAAGTCTCGCTCTGTTGCCGGGCTGGAGTACAGTGGTGGGATCTCAGCTCACTGCAACCTCCGCCGTCTAGGTTCAAGTGATTCTCCTGCCTCAGCCTCGTGAGTAGCTGGAATTACAAGCATGCGCCACTATGCTCAGCTAATTTTTTATTTTTAGTAGAGACAGGGTTTCACCATGTTGGCCAGATGGTCTAGATCTCTTGACCTTGTGATCCACCTGCCTGGGACTCCCAAAGTGCTGGGATTACAGGCGTGAGCCGCCACGCCCGGCTATCATTATTATTATTTGTCTTTTACTCAGTTCTTAGTAACTGTGCAATATTTTCATCAGATGCCACATATTCCAGGATAGACCACATGTTAGACCACAAGTTTCTACAAACTTAAAAGAATTGAAATCATACCAAATATCTTTCTGACAATAGTGGAATAAAACTAGAAATAAATTAGGAGGAACTTTTGAAACTGTATAAATACAAGGAAGTTAAATAACATGTTTCTGACCAGGCACGGTGGCTCAGGCCTGTAACTGCAACACTTTGGGAGGCCAGGGCGGGCAGATGACCTGTGGTCAGGGGTTCAAGATCAGCCTGACCAACATGGCAAAAACCCATCTCTACTAAAAATACAAAAATTAGCCAGGCGTGGTGGCTGAGGCAGGAGAATAGCTTGAACCCTGGAGGCGGAGGTTTCAATGAGCTGAGATTACGCCATTGAATTCCAGCCTCGGTGACAGAGCAAGACTATGTCTCAAAAACAAAACAAACAAAAAAACATGTTTCTGAATGACTGATAGGCCAATGAAGAAACTGAGGAATTTAAAAATTTCTCTTATTTTGTTCAAGTAATCCCCTTCAGCTACTTTTGGGACTAGGTAAAAATGCAAGTGTTACTTGAATGAGTAACTTTTTTTTGCACAGGACTATCAGTGTCTCCTGGTCAATTAAGCTTAGGATCAAAGGCCAGTATAAAGGCTCTTCCTTGAAATACATGTAAAATCTGAGCAGAGCTAATTGGAGTTATGTGGGTATTTAGGCTGAGTGCAGTGGCTCACACCTGTAATCCCAGCACTTTGGGAGGCCAAGGCAGGCAGATCACGAGGTCAGGAGTTACAGACCAGCCTGACCAATATGCTGAAACCCTGTATCTACTAAAAATACAAAAAACTCCTGGGTTCAATACAAAATACAGGGCATGGTGGTGCATACCTGTAGTCCCAGCTACCCGGGAGGCTGAGGCAGGAGAATTGCTTCAACCTGGGAGGCGGAGGTTGCAGTGAGCCAAGATGGCACCACTGCACTCCAGCCTGGGCAACAAACCAAGACTCCGTCTCAAAAAAAAAAAAAGTGAGCATTTAGATATCCAGGTTCTCTTGGTTAGGGGCATGGGAGGCAGTATAATTTAATGACTTTTGAGAAAGAACTTGATTCAAAACCCAGCTCTAATACTTGACACCTAGGTGAACTTGCGCAAGTTATTTAATCTTTTTAAAAAATGTTTTTTAGTTTAATTTTTTAATTTTTATTTTTTGTAGAGATGAGGTCTCTCTCTGTTGCCCAGGCTGGTCTTGAATTCCTAGGCCTCACACAATCCTCCCAACTTTGCCTCCCAAAGTGCTGGGATTATGGGTGTGAGCCACTGCACCTGGCCTATTTAAACCTTTCTAAGCCTTAAATTCCTTATCTGTAAAATGGGAGCAAAAAAACAAAAACAAGAAAAGAAAAGAAATGGGAGCAATACTATATACTTTATAGGATCATTGTGAAAATTCAGTGAGATGCTACATGTAAGGTATCTGGTATTGAACCTGATGTATTGTAACATTTCAGGGCATGTCAGTTCTCTTTTTGTCCTTTCTGCACCTCTGTCATCCTAGTGCTGTCAATGAAAGAGAAATAGGAGATGTAGTTTATTTTATTTTATTTATTTATTTTGACAGAATCTCACTCTGTCGCCCAGGCTGGAGTGCACTGGTGCTATCTCAGCTCAGTGCAACCTCTGCCTCCCGGGTTTAAGAGATTCTTCTGCCTCAGCCTCCCAAGTAGCTGGGACTACAGGCGCTTACCACCACACCAGCTAATTTTTGTATTTTTAGTAGAGACAGGGTTTCAGCATATTGGCCAAGCTGGTCTCAAACTCCTGACCTCATGATCTGCCCATCTTGGCTTCCCATAGTGCTGGGATTACAGGTGTGAGCCACTGTGCCTGGCCAGAGATGTACTTTAAGGAACAATATTAAGATTTTTTAAAACTACTAGGTGAAAATAAAGTGACACCACACCCCAAATGCTATAAAACACACTGGAATTTGAGTCAGGAGATGTGCATTCTGTCACTTAGTCACAAAATTGTGACTTTGAGTATTTAGCCTAAGCTCTCTGAGCCTCCATTGCTTTTTTATTGGTGAGACTTGCTGGTAAAGTCTCCCTAAGGTTCAAGTCCTTCCAGGCCAAGTCCCCAGAGCAGGCCCCCAGGGCTCAGCGGGGAACAGTTAAAAAAAAAAAAAACAGCAAGCTGTTCCCACTGCGCCCTCCCTCCTCCAGACTCCCACTCAGACACAGCTGTCACCAGCCAGGATGGCTCTCCACTGCTCAGGAAGCACAGATCTCCATTTCCGGAGTGCTAAGGCCCAAGTCCAGCAGATGCTCAGAGGGGAAGCAGAAGAAATAACTCACCCATTACTTGTGGGACTGGCCGAAGAGAACATTACAGTTCCCTTCAACCTGTGAAGTCTGTGATTTCTCTGGTTCTTAACTCCAGCTCTGCACCAATCTTTTAGGAGAAAAAGGACATTCTGTGCAGGAAAATTAGTTTTCTTTATTTACAGCATCTAGCAGAGTCCTCTGCAAACAATTGGCATCTTCTATAATATTTTCAGCTTGGAAGAGATACTGATGCTTAATCAACTTTAAAGGAAAAGATGTACTTCTTAGTAATTTGAGCCTGGAACGAGATATTCAGTTATTAAAATAAAAGAGGTAGTTACTCTAACCTGCCTAGGCTACAGTTCACTTCTCTGCCTCCTGCTCAGCCTGCAGCTCTTCTCCGTTCATCCTTTGCTTTTATTATTATTATTTTTTTTTAATTAGAGGCAAGGTCTCACTGTGTTGCCCAGGCTGGTCTTGAATTCCTGAGCCCAAGTGATTCTCTCACCTTAGCCTCCCAAAGTGCTAGGATTATGAGCATGAGCCACCACGCCTGGCTGTAATGCCCTTTGCTTTGTTATTTCAAGTCGATTCGTATTCTGATGTCATGATAACAATACATGACTTTTTGTTGAGTCAAGTCAAGAAATATTGCTGACCTTTATAAATATCAACAACCATCCTAGCAGGTGAGTCTGCCCAATCATTGCTCATGAATGACTTTCAGTTAATGTGTCTTTCGTCTCCAGGACATAACCCTTAAGGGCACCAGTTTAGCTCAACACTCCTAACCTCATTTTGGAATAAAATAGGCCGATGATATTGGCAGCTGAACATGGCCTACCTAGCCATATTGACTTAAAAGAGAGTGAACGCTTCTCTGCAAATAAGTTTATTAACAGTAAACACATCCATGCAAGCAATCTAAAAAAACCCTTACTATGTAATTTACCTCCTTTGGGGATATATATTAATAGATTAGTCTCTTTCCTGTGCAAGTATCCCCACACCTTGAAAAACTGGGAAGTTTACATGTGTATCTATTGCCCGAAAAGCTAAACTATTTTGCATTCATTGCCTTGGGGGAAGAAGCAGCTAGGGTGAAAAGGAAATAAATGTCCAGTGTCATCTGAAAACCTAGCTCTTTAGGGGAATAGATACACAGGAAAACTTCAGTTTTTCAAGGGAATGCTGATGATTCTCCATAAGAATCAAGCAGCATTTAGGTGTCGTCGAAGTTTTTTGTTTTTCCTGAAGCTCCGTGGCAAGAATTTAAATAAATAAATAAATAAACAACTTTTTTCCAAAGAAACAATGGCCAGGCCTGCTGGCTCACACCTGTAATCCCAGCACTTTGGGAGGCCAAGGCAGGCAGATCACCTGATGTCAGGAATTCAAGACCAGCCTGACCCCGTCTCTACTAAACATACAAAATTAGCCAGGTGTGGTGGCACATGCTTGTAATCCCAGCTAGCTGGGAGGCTGAGACAGGGGAATTGCTTAAACCCAGGAGACGGAGGTTGCGGTGAGCCCAGATAGCGCCATTGCACTTCAGCCTGGCAACAGAGCAAGACTCTGTCTCAAAAAAAAAAAAAAAAAAAAAAAAAAAAAAAAAAAAAAAAAAAAAAAAAAAAAAAATAGTAAAAAAAAAAAAAAAAAAAAAAAAAAAAAAGAGATGATGTATTGTTATGTTGCCCAGACTGGAGTGCAGTGACCATTATAGGAGTGATCACGGCATACCACAGCCTCGGATTCCTGGGCTTAAGGGATCATCATGCCTCAGTCTCTCAAGTAGCTGGGATTACAGGTGCACTCCACCGCTCCTGGCTTCTGCAAAATATTTTTGCATCTGACACAGGTTGAAGCTATGCTTTTCAGATGGGCTTGTTTGGTGGATTACATTCAGATTTTCAACTTGGAACAAGAACAGGATGATAAAAATGAGATAAAAAAACAGGTAACAGTGGCTCATGACTGTAAACCCAGCACTTTGGGAGGCCGACGCAGGCCGATCACCTGATGTCAGGAGGTTGAGACCAGCCTGGCCAACGTGGTGAAAGCCCGTTTCTACTAAAAATACAAAAAATTAGCCAGGCATGGTGGTGCACACTTGTAATCCCTGCTACTCGGGAGGTTGAGGCACAAGAATTTCTTGAAGCCAGGCAGCGGAGGTGGCAGTGAGCCGAGATCACGCCATTGCACTCCAGCTTGAGCAACAAAAGCAAAACTTTGTGTCAAAAAATAAAAAAAAGATAAGAGTAGACAAGACATATGAACATCCTCTTGGCTGCCTCCATCTTATCTTCCCTTTGAGAAATGGATACAGACTAGATTTTAGTTCTATGGAAGGGACTCTAATTGGATGTTACCATTACAGGAATAAGAGAGAAAAAAAAGACAGAGGATGTGGGAAAGAAAGTGACTTTCAGGGAGTTTTAGCCAAAAGCAAGTCAGAGGACCAGTGCAACTGAGTACATAAGCAAAATACTGGGAGTTTGTTAAAAGACAGATTTCTAAGTTCAACTCTAGAGAGTCTGCAGGTCTGGGGTACGGCCTGAGAACACATACTTTAAATATTTCCCATCTAGGCCAGGTGCGGTTGCTCATGCCTGTTATCCCAGCTCTTTGGGAGGCCGAGGCAGGCAGATCACCTGAGGTCAGAAGTTCGAGACCAGCCTGGTCACCATGGTGAAAGCCGTCTCTACTAAAAATACAAAAATTAGCAGAGCTTGGTGGCACATACTTGTAATCCCAGCTACTCGGGAGGCTGAGGCGGGAGGATCACTTGAACCCAGGAGGTGGAGATTGCAGTGAGCTGCGATCGCGCCAATGCACTCCAGCCTGGGTGACAGAGCAAGACTTCATCTCAAAAAAAAGGCCTGAGGATGTTTAAAGCTGGTTAGGGTACATTCCTCTTTAGTGCTCCTTTTCCCCCTGCTTGCAAGCAGCTAAACTATTTTGCATTCGTTGCCTTGGGGGAAGAAGCAGCTAGGGTGAAAAGGAAATAAATGTCCAGTGTCTTCTGAAAACCTAAGCTCTTTAGGGGAATAGATACCCAGTAAAAATGTTTGAGAGCTGGACACAGGTGCCCTCATGTCCTCTAGAGCGACTGTATGCCTTTCCCTGAGAGAAGAGCCCTGGAGAGACAGTTTGTAGGATGAAATGGCAGAACAGGCCCTGCTTCACCCCTTAAGAACTCCAGTGGAGCAGTGAGAACCTGGAGAGGTATAGGGTGTACCACCACCCTGAATGTGCCTGATCTCATCTGATATTGGAGGCTAAGCAGGGCTGGGCCTGGTTATTGCTTGGTGGAGAGATCTCCTGGGAATACTGGGTGCTGTAGACTTAAAAAAATACCTGGAGAGGGTTGGTTGCTCTGTGCAAGAAGGGTTTGGAACCTTAGCATGGAACAGAAGCTGCAGAATGATGCTTGCACCTGAGCAGAACAGGGGAGAATAGAAAGTGCCTGGATTGAAGAGGCCACATGGACAGGGGCTCAGTAATAATTTGCACAGAGGACATCAAGAAATGGAAGGTTCCCTCCCCAAACACATTTAGCAGTATGTGAGCTCTGAGAACAATTCTGGGAAAAGGAACAGGAACAGTGCGGCCTGACTGGACAGAGGTTATATTCTGCGACCTCTTAAAAGGAACGAGGTTTTGAAACAGAAATTTTGTTGAGTTAAAGAATATCAATTCCAGCCTAGGCAACATGGCAAAACCCCCATCTCTGCAAAAATGCAAAAATTAGTTGGGCATGGTGGTGAGTGTCTGTAGTCCCAGCTACTTGGGAGGCTGAGGTGTGAGGACTGATTGAGCTCAGGAGGTGGAGGTTGCAGTGAGCTTAGATTGTGCCACTGCACTCCAGCCTGGGTAATAGGGTGAGACTGTGTCTCCAGAAAAAAAAAAAATATATATATATATATATATATAAATATATATATATATATGTATACACACACACACACACACACACACACACATATACATATAGATTTATGTTTGCTGCACTGGAAACTAATACAAAGAATAAGAGTGACATCCCTTGACAAACCATTTAACAGCCTGATGGGGTGTGGGTGGAAGGAGTGATGTGCTTGTGGTTCAGAGTTTCTTACAATTCCAGTAACTTCAAGCTAAAGAGCATGTGTAGAGTGGCAAGTCACTCCATTGTACTCAATGACCCTCTAATTCTAATTTAAGGGCAGGCGTGGGGGCTCACACCTATAACCCCAGCACTTTGGGAGGCTGAGGCAGGAGGATCACTTGAGGTCAGGAGCTGGAGACCAGCCTGGCCAACATGGCAAAACCCTGTTCCTACTAAAAATACAAAAAAAGGCTGGGCATGGTGGCTCACGCCTATAATCCCAGCACTTTGGGAGGCCAAGGCAGGTGGCTCATGAGGTCAAGTGATCGAGACCATCCTGGTCAACACGGTGAAACCCCGTCTCTACTAAAAATACAAAAATTAGCTGGGCATGGTGGTGCAGCCTGTAATCCCAGCTACTCAGGAGGCTGAGGCAGGAGAATTGCTTGAACCCAGAAGGCAGAGGTTGTGGTGAGCCAAGATCGTGCCATTGCACTGCAGCCTGGGTAACAAGAGTGAAACTCTGTGTCAAAAAATAAAATAAAATACAAAAAATTAGCCGGGCATGGTGGCAGATGACTGTAATCCCAGGCACCTGGGAGGCTGAGGCAGGAAAATCTCTGGAAACCAGAAAGCAGACGTTGTAGTGAGCTGAGATTGCACCACTGCACTCCAGCCTGGGCAACAGATGAGACTCTGTCTCTCAAAAAAAACAAAAATCTAATTTAAGGCATTTTGAAATAGGGCAAAGAAGTAGTGTTGCCAGGTTTAGCAAATTAATTGCTTCATGCAATATTTGCAATATTGAGGACATACTTATACAAAAAATTCTTCATTGTTCATCTGAAATTCAAACTTAATGGAGTGTTTTGAATGTTATCTGGTACGGTACAAAGAAGGGAGTTCACAAGTGTCTGGGGCTCAGTAGCACATCATCACCCAATACACTGATCCGGTTAGCAAAATCCCTACTCTGCTCTAAAAATCCTGCCAAGGCACTAACGGAAAAGCAGCTGCTGCACATACCTAGGTGAGAACAGTCAGGGATACCAGTTAGCTCAGCGGCTTCCAAAAACATCTCAGGCTCCACCCTCTCCACCTGCCCATTGCCTGTGGGAAGCTGCGGAGTGTCACCTGGCTAAAGGAATAACCACAGGTTTTAGAAATCAGTCAGATCTAGAATGCTGTGTTAGCTTAGTTCTCTTTTGATGTAGCTTATTCTGATGAGTTTTGTCACTGTTTCCCTACTTGATGTGGAAACAAGGTGAAATTCCATTTGTAGGTAGGGAGACGAAATTGATGATCCATTAAATAAACAATAAAAATGTCCATTGAAACTGTGAAAAAAAAAAAATCAGTCAGACCTGTGTTCGAAGGCAATTCTGTCAACTATTTGGTGTGACCTTGAGCAAACTACGTAACAGCCCTTCTCTTTTAGACTATTTCCTAGAAGAGTTATTATAAGAATTAAAAAAAAAAAAAAAAAAAAAAAGATGGGTGGAAGGCGCCCAGTAAGGTACACAGCATAGCGTGGGCTGTGAGTAAATAGTGCTATCATTCCCTGCACTTCGTTACTAAGGGTGGAGACTTTAGATCCTATTCCTTGGCCTCTTCTTCATCTCTGGGAGATCCTACCTGGATACTGTAATTGTTTGAGGACACAATTTGTCCCTTTGCAACTTTAGGTCTATGTATTTTTGCCTCCAGTGCACTTTTTTTTTTTTTTTTGAGATGGAGTCTCATTCTGTCACCAGGCTGGAGTGCAGTGGCGCCATCTCAGCTCACTGCAACCTCCATCTCCTAGGTTCAAATGATTCTTCTGCCTCAGCCTCCCGAGTAGCTGGGACTACAGGCACGCAACACCATGCCCAGCTAATTGTTGTATTTTTAGTAGAGATGGGGTTTCACCATGTTGGCCAGGATGGTCTCGATCTCTTGACCTCATGATTCGCCCACCTCGGCCTCCCAAAGTGCTGGCCACTGCTCCTGGCCATCAGTCTACATTTTACAGTGCCTTCTGTAACCTGGCCTTTTGTACAGAAGAATTTATTTCATCTAAAGAAAGGCGGCCAGGTGCAGTGGCTCACACCTGTAGTGCCAGTGCTTTGGGAGGCTGAGGAAGGAGGAGCACTTGAGCCCAGGAGTTGGAGACCAGCCTGGTCACATACCAAGACCCATCTCTACAAAAAAGTGAAATAATTAGCTGGGCATGGTGGCGTGCACCTGTGGTCGCAGCTAGTCAGGAGGCTAAGGTGGGAAGATCCTTTAAGCCAAAGAGTTCAAGGCTGCAGTGAGCTATGATTCTACCATTGCACTCCAGCCTGGGCGACAGTGAGACCCTGTCTTTAAATAAATAAATAGGCCAGGTGCAGTGACTCACGCCTGTAATCCCAGCACTTTGGGAGGCCAAGGCACGTGAATGACTTGAGACAGGAGTTCGAGACCAGCCTGGCCAACATGGTGAAAACCCATCTCTACTAAAAATACAAAAATTAGCTGGGTGTAGTGGTGCTTGCCTGTGGTCCCAGCTACTTGGGAAGCTGAGGCAGGAGAATCGCTTGAAACCGGGCAGTGGAGACTGCAGTGAGCAGAGATGGCACCACTGCACTCCTGCCTGGACAACAGAGTGAGACTCTATCTATAAATGAATAAATAAATAGCATTCTCTGCTATAGATTCAGTAAACTGTACTCACATTCTCTAAATTCAGTGTCCTGACTCCAAGCCCACCAAGTTGAGGAGGGGAAACCATGACAGCTAATCTGAAGCTTTTATTCTGTAAATTGTTTTAAATGCTATGCAACAAATATTTCCAAAAGGAAATTTATCTTCATACATATTTACTCAAAATACTTAAAAGTATGACCACTTCCGGCACTTTCGGAGACCTAGGCAGGTGCATCACCTGAGGTCAGGTGTTGAAGACCAGCCTGGCCAACATGGCAAAACCCTGTCTTTACTAAAAGTATAAAAATTAGCTGGGCGTGGGAGCAGGCACCTGTAATCCCAGCTACTCAAGATGCTGAGGCAGGAGAATGGCTTGAACCTGGGAGGCGGAGGTTGCAGTGAGCCAAGATCGTGCCACTGCACTCCAACCTGGGCAACAAGAGCAAGACTCAGTCTCAAAAAAACAAAAAAAAAGTACAAACACTTCCGCTTGTCCCTAAATGGCAGGACATATCCCATGATGTTTCCACCTGCAGAACACATGGCCTTGTATAATTGTTGAATGCTGTTGTCTGTACATATGTATTTATTAGAAACTGGGTCTCACTCTGCTAGGTAGGAGTGCAGTGGCACAATCATAGCTCACCGCAGCCTCGAACTCCTGGATTCCAGTGATTCTTTTTCCTCAGCCTCCTGAGTAGCTAGTATGACAGGCACATGCCAACACCCCTGGCTATTTAAAAACTGTTTTTGGAGAAATGGGGGTCTTGCTATATTGCCCAAGCTGGTCTCAACTTCCTGGCCTCATGTAATCTTCCCACCTCAGCCTCCTAAAGTGATGGGATTACAGGCATGAGCCACTGTGCCTGACCTAAATATCTGGTTTTTTTGGTTTGTTTTTGTTGTTGTTGTTTTTGCTTTTTGGTTTTTTGTTTGTTTGTTTTGTTTTTTGAGATGGAGTCTGGCTCTGTCACCCTAGCTGGAGTGCAGTGGCATGATCTTGGCTCACTGCAACCTCCACTTCCCGGGTTCAAGTGATTCTCCTGCCTCAGCCTCCCAAGTAGCTGGGACTACAGGTGAGCATCACCACGCCTGGCTAATTTTTGTATTTTTAGTAGAGGCGAGGTTTCACCATGTTGGTCAGACTGGTCTAGAACTGCTGACCTCCGGTGATCTGCCCACCTTGACCTCCCAAATTACTAGGATTACAGGCGTGAGCCACTGCATCCAGCAAAGGTCTGTTTTGAAAGTGCACATCCTTCTCCCTTCAGGTCACATCCTATTTTGGCATAATTCCTCCGAGAAAGCACCATCTTGATCTGAGTCTATAAAAATAATTGTTGACCTCTGACACTGCAAATAATACATGGTTTCAGGTAAACTGTGCTTAAAAGCAAAGGGGAGATTTTGAGTGTTCTAACAATAAAAGATTATATTAACAAGTTTCATTTTAAAGTATTTTTTCCAAACACTGAAAATATCTGCATAACATCAAAATTGTTAAGGAATTGTGAAACCTCCCATAAATATCCATTCATGCACTCAATAAATATTTATTCAATTTGTGCCTGGCCTTATGGATACAAAAGGTTAGGACAACATGAAGTGACAATGACGAGGGTCTTTTCTTTCCCATGTTTTATTTATTAGTCCTTCATTATTTATGACGCCAGTAAGTGACACTCTGGGCTTCGGTAACACCATTTCTGCAAGGTATCACTCATCTTCCCTTCGTTTTTTAACAGCTTTTGAATTTAGGTCAACAAGGAGCCAATCTGGACCCAAAAGTCTGCCTTATAGAGGGAAGATACACCAACGGTGAGTTCAGGTTGGCCATGAACCTAGCAGAATGTTTGATGGTATCTTCAGGCATGTCTAGTGTTGACTATTTGCCCGAATTAAAAATTTGCCCTCCCTCCTTGCTCATCTCTGCCTCCCTCTCTTCTGTCTGACCTCATTCCTTAAACATTTCCCCTTTTCTTTTTCTATATTGCTTCCATATATAGGAAGTTTTCAGTGGAAAATTGCTGGAGAAATTTAAACAAGTGATCTGACCTGTCTTGTTTGGATCTGATATAAAGCTAACCACTGCATTTTTCTTGTTCTTTTCTTTAACTTGAAATTAGGATATCCCTGCCTCTACTAAAAATTAGAAAAATTAGCCCAAAATTTTGGTGGCAGTTGCCTGTAGTCCGAGCTACTTGGGAGGCTGAGGCAGGAGAATCGCTTGAACCCTGGAGTCAGAGGTTGCAGTGAGAGGAGATCTAGCCACTGCACTCCAGCCCAGGTGACAGAGAGAGACACCATCTCAAAAATAAAGAAAAGAAATTAGGACAGAAACCTTCTCAGAACTGTTGCATTTTTTCCCTCCATCTCAGTTTTGGATACTTTTTCTTTTTTTTTTTTGAAATGGAGTCATGCTCTGCCGCCTAAGCTGAGAGTGCAGTGGCATGATCTCAGATCACTGCAACCTCTGCCTCCCGGGTTCAAGTGATTCTCCTGCCTCAGGCTCCCAAGTAGCTGGGACTACAGGCGCATACCACCATGCCCGGCTAATTTTTTGTATTTTCCGTAAAGACAGAATTTCACCGTGTTAGGCAGGATGGTCTCGATCTCCCAACCTCGTGATCCGTCCACCTCAGCTTCCAAAAGTACTGGGATTACAGGCATGAGCCAGTGTGCCTGGCCCTCAGTTTTGGATACTTTTCAAAGGACCCTGTTGTAAAGTTAGTAATGAAGGGAAAAAGTCAGTTCCTCTTTGTAAACCAAAACCAAAAGAAAAGACTCTGCTGGTATGGGAGGAGGCATAGTTGCAAAGCCTGGGCCCTTATGAGGAGTCAAAGAGGCAGAGCTATAGTGGACAACAGTAAAAGAGAAAAGTGGAGTTTCCTTCCCAATTGTCTACTCCTGATGCCCCTCTGTGGATTTTTTTTTTTTTTTTGAGACGGAGTTTCGCTGTTGTTACCCAGACTGGAGTGCAATGGCACGATCTTGGCTCACTGCAACCTCTGCCTCCTGGGTTCAAGTAATTCTCCTGCCTCAGCCTCCTGAGTAGCTGGGACTACAGGCGCGCACCACCATGCCCAACTGATTTTTGTATTTTTAGTAGAGACGGGGTTTCACCTTGTTGACCAGGATGGTCTCAATCTCTTGACCTCGTGATCCACCCGCCTCGGCCTCCCAAAGTGCTGGGATTCTAGGCATGAGCCACCGTGCCCGGCCCCCTCTGTGGATTTGCCTCCTCACTGCACAGCAGCCGACCATTCTTTGCAGAGTAACTGCTGGCCGGCATGGATATTCAGTATGAGACAAGTGATTAAACTCAAGCATCAGCAAGGGTGAAGCTAAAATCAATCCTGGGACTCAGCGCTTCAGCTGGAAGGGATGGGCCTAAAGGCAGGTGATTCTTGTAGGAAATGCTTCTGAGCCACTGCTGACTCATTGAAGGGGCAAGATTTTATGTCCAAACAA